ATGTTTATTTTAATGTATATAATACATTTATGAGGTATCTCATAAACATTTCGAAGATCGATTTTTTTTGAGCCACCCTATTTATTTATACGTACTATATATATGTATATTATACATATATATAGTACGTATAAATAAATGCAACGGTTCATCACGAATTTTCTCGGTGGATACAATCCGTCATTGATTTCAACGAGAATAAAGAAATTTAATATTACAATAACAAACAAACCTTTACGGTAAAATTGACTTGTATTTTTCTGGCACGCAATAAATAAAAATTTGTTTATGGGAAAATAATTCAAATTTTCCTAATGATTTTTAATTTGTATAATATTTTTGTTTATGATTATTCTATCTGTAATATACAAAGCCAATAAGTAAAGAAAAGCAAAAATTGATATTCTCCAAATCACAAGTTTTTATTAAATTGTATATTTTTTCTTTTATTGTAATAAGGTTACTTAATTACTCATTGTATTATTGTAATGCAGGTAGTACTTAATGTATGACAATGTCAATTAAAGCACGATAATATGTATGTATTAGTATATATCAGTATACCTTATATCATTTGGTTACTTTGTCTGTTCATAGTAACCATAAACATAACAATTGTTTGCCCTTACTGCATAAGACAGTATAGAATTACTTTTGAGTTATAATAGTATAAATCATTATTAATATGGTATTCGAAAGCTTGTTATGAATTACTGGTCAGGCCCCACACATCGGTAATCCATATAAATGTCTAATACTGATAATTATTATGTTAGTTACACATTTTAACATATTAATTATCGAGTTCCAATATTCAAGCAAGTAATTCGATGACTTCTATAATAACTACTTTGTTTCTTGCTCCAAAATTTCTGTAAATACCAACAATTAAAGAAATCATAGAATTTTAATAAACCCTTTTTTAAAATAGTAGATAATTGGGATAATATATTCTAATTTTAAATAAATATTTTCTATGCATTACACAGAGTAATTTATTAAGCATACTACTACCTTATCTCTTTTTTTAATAATGATGTTTTTAAAAAATTATAGATTAAAATTTAATTAGTTTTAATAAACCTTTGTAAATATAAATTTTATTTTAGGAAAAAATTATTTCTAAGGGTAGTTTTATAGATTATATGGTTTATAGTTTTAACTACCAGTTTGGTAGTTAAACAGTCACTTATTATTATTTTCATACAATTAAATGGAAAATGACCTAAATAAAATTTCAAGTTTGGTTTTTTTATTGTTACTTTTTTAAATATTATCATTTGAATAATTAAAAAGGGGGAGGAGCGAAGTAATGTTCAGTGACGATCTATTTTTACCTTAACACACAGATGAAAATTTTTCTGTTTCGCACTTCATTTGCCTATAACTAAGAATTATATAATTATTTATAGTTATCAGAAGACGTATAACATATAACAATTTAAAAAGTAATAATACCAAACTGATTATCAAATTGTGAAACTTGTATTTAGATAATTCACTGTATAATAATAAAAAAATTATAAGTGTTTCTAAAACTTTCAATAGTTACTGTTAAAATCTACCCTTAAAAATAATTTTTTTTACAATAAACTTGATACTTACAACGGCTTATAAATATAAATTAAATTTCAATCTATACATTTTCATAAAAAATTATTATTTAATTAAAATATGAGGAGTACATTAATAACAATATATAATACTATAATCTTTAATGCTAAGAGTATACTCATACTTAATAAATTACATTGTGTAACGCATAGTCATATATAATTATAGTTGATTCATCATACCAACTACCATTTCTTAAATCTAATTCACGATGAATTTGTTTTACTAATTTCTGGCTATAATTTATTTATGGACAAAAACATAACTTCAAACATTTTTTAATTTTTTTAAATGACTATACTGAAATATTCAAATAATTTTGTATAATGTTACTGTTTCTAAAAATATGGCAGCCGGTCGTCATTCACGTTTCACGTGTTTTGATAGTTTAACATATTTTATATTAAAAGAGGTTAAACGACGAAGGAGTTTCGATGTTACTGAGCTACATAGATTATTGTGTATGGGCTTTGGTGCAAAATATTTTGCCATGAGATACAGAATGAATCGACTAATGGATGTACTAGACTATCTTTTCTATACCAAACGACTGACTTTAGTCGAACCAAAAACCCCACACATAAATAATGAGGCTATTATAACAAGAAATAGATCAACAAATAATGAACTCAGTAAGTCATACCGAATTGTATAAAATGAATGTTTAAAATTTACTCGAACTTGTACATCAAAAATTACTAACATTTTAAATAAAAATGAGTTTGAAGTTCAGATTATGATAAATTTTATCAATAGTAATTCTTTATTTACATTTCCTTTTGAAAGGTAATTTCTGAAATAATGGCTTCAACGATAAGGCATTACCTTTAATAAATGATGATAGCACTAAAAATAATACTTTAAGTCATATATAATTATTTATCAAAATATTTTTAGTCTAATGATATTTATATTATACAGTGTCTTTATTGCACGATATTTTGAAAAATTAATAACTTTTAATTAAAAATTGAGAATTATTTTACTTTGACGATAGTAGAATAACCGTGGTATGCATTTTTTTTTATTTCTGTGATGTTTCAAAAGCTTTCATTTGGTATAGTATAGAATTCGTTAGACCTTCCGAACATTTACAAATATCGAGTTAAAAAAAATTTTATGCGTAGGTGATCTCTTTCTTTCCTGATAACCCTTCCTATAGTTATGTTTTTCTTTTAATTTTCACAATAAGCACACACAGGAAAGATTTTCGTCTCTAGTAATGCTATTAAAGTTTATTAAGATCATTGTTTTCATAAAAAAAGTCATATTAGTTTATATATTCAAAAAAAAAAAATTGAAAAGTGCCATTTTTCATGATAGCGTTTTTTTGTTACTTTTATTTAAATTTCTAAAATTGAGAGGAATTTTTCTTGTTTTCTTGACTCTTTAAATAAATAAAAATCGGTTTTTTTATATACTTCCTTTTGAAAGGTAATTTCTGAAATAATGGTTTAAATTTTAATAACAATCAATCATTTGATTTTAATATGATAAACAATTTATGTGTTGAGTTATTATCGTTAAAATAAATACCTTTTATATGTATAAAAAATTAGATTAATTCAATTAATGTTTCTTTGCTATAAAAATAATTAAAGGAGAGAAAGAGAAGTGAATGTAATGCCATATAATTCAAAGTTATGTACTTCTATTTAAGTCTCTACGACCAAAATATGTTAGTTTATAAAACTAGTGAACTACTGAGAAAATCTTTGCATTGTAACTCTTTAATAGGTCTGATCAAATTAAAAATGTTGTGTGAAACAACTGAAAATGAAACTTTTATTTGTCTATGATAATATTAAGTAGTTTATTCAACGTTTTACACTACTATAAACCCGATGCGCCTGGTCAAATATAAAAGGGTTTATTAACAAGACATTTTTGTGAGCTAATTTGACCTGTTCTGATACTGATATTATTAATTATAATACTATACACTAAATAATGACATCTGTATAATAAATATTGTCTTTGAGTTACCTCCCAAGAATAATCGATTAAAATAATATGGCTTCAATAGATTATATTTTAATATTCTATATTTTATACTAGTAGGATAACATCACCAGTAAATTAACAATATCAATTGTATAACTAAAAATTTGTATAATTAATTTAAATCAAATTGTAAATAGTTTTATTTCAAAAATATCTAAATCTAGTTGTTCTGCAATATTACAATTTTTGATAAAATTAATTTTACTGAAAATTCTATTTTTCATTTAATTAATTTAAATGTTCGTTTAATTTAATTAAGAATATTTGTACATTATTACTGTAGAGATTTTTTTAGAGAACAAGTATGCATTATTATTATTATGAGTCTGGTGTCAAACTATAAACTGATGATATTATCCTGTATTGTAACTATTATCAAATTTCTTTAATGTATTAGTGTGTGTTATATGTTAAGACATTATGACCACCAACTTGTTATCAAAATATCAGAACAGTTTTTATTCAAACAACTCTTGGATAATTGCTCAGAATGCTTGTCAAAAATTTGATCCTGCTGATGTATCCATTTCAAGGGATTGGCATCAAATGGGAAATCATTATCAGTTATTTTCAAACTTGGTCATATAAAAATCATCCATACAGCAATAAATTTTTACTTACTAAATTATATATTACAATAGATCAAAACTAAAGGAAGACCAATTACAAATCAAAAAGAATCTGGTCGCTGTTGGATATTTGCTTGTTTAAATGCAATAAGAATACCGTTTATGAAAAGATTTAAAATTAAAGAATTTGAATTTAGTCAATCGCATATATTTTTTTGGGATAAAGCAAGTTAATGAGCTAAATAATATGTAATACATTTTAAATAGAAAATAACCTAAACAGCTATGTTATATATAATTTATTTATTAAATCATTTTAGGACACTATTATATAAAAAATATAATATAGAACTTTTTTTTATTCGATTAAAATATTCTTGTGTCGTCGTCATCTCCTTAGCGCCTATCCCAACTATTTAGGGTGGACTCTAGTTTACAATTTGACAGGATTTTTTACACTGACTGTCGACCTAAAGAAACCTCAATATCACTTTGAGCCATAATTAACCATCAGGGCAGCAAGGTGTGGGTCATTGTTAGATTTCCTTTAAGGCCACCCATCAGTTAACCAATAGCAAATAGCAAGCTGAACATTAGTACTAAGACAGCGGCTGAATGATCCACTTCGCCACACCACACCCCTATTAAAATACTCCTAATAATAATTTATTATATAATTACATAGAATTAAACTAAATTCATGAACACTTATTTTATAATGTCATTTTTGTATTTTATATTGAAATTAATCACGTTTACAATACCTATAGATTGAAAGAAGCAATTACTTTTTAAATGCTATTGTTCTCACTGCGAAACGTGGAGATTGTTTAGATTCTAGATTAGTCATGTCTTTATTACACGTGAGTATTAAAAATTAAGTTATAATAAATAAATTAGATAGCTATATGAAAATATAAATGATACAATAAAAATCTTCAAATTTAATGTAATCGAAAAATAATTTCAATATAAATAAATCCTTAGACTCCTATTGAAGATGGTGGGCATTGGAACATGGTTGCAAATATTATTCAAAAATATGGATTAATGCCCCGCATTAATTTTCCAGAAAGTTATAATAGTACAAAAAGTGATTTCATGAACGACATTTTAAATAGCAAGGTTCGTTTTTAATCTATAAATTAATTAAAGTTTAACTGTTAAACCAATAAAATAATTATGAATTTCAAAAAAATTATTGTTGTTTTTGCAATATCAACATAATTGATTACATTAATAATTTTATGATAATGAAATCTAAAATAAATTTATAATTGTATCTTTATTACAATTTAATACTGACTTTAAGCTCAGAGAATATGCCGTTGTTTTACGAAATATGGTTATTAATTCTGCAACGGATGATGTTATTCAAAGTGAAATAAATAAATACATGTGCATAGTATATCGGATTGTGGGAATATGTCTTGGAATACCTAAAGAACGTTTTGAGTGGTCTTATTATGACTGTGATCATAAATTACAATTATTCAATCAAATAACACCTTTAGAGTTTTATGAAACTTTTGTCAAACCGGTGTTTGACGTTTCAACTAAAGTACATTCTTTTAATATTCAGTTTTAAGTAAACAGCTCATACATGAAGGCAAAATTGTAATACCAATTTTGCTATTATAAAAATATTTATTTTTAAAAAAATCTGTAAAAGTGTCATATTTTTTTGATTTCTTCAATTTTAAAATCTTTATAATCATTACATGGAATACAGAAATATATCTAAACAATATATATTTTTCATTTTATAAACAAAATATATTTCTATTCTTTTGATCTAGTAAAAGTGAAATAATTATTATAATTCAGAGCATATTTTAAGGAATTTTGATTGGTTGACACTAATATAAGCATATTTGTGATGTAAGTTTGCGTTAAATTACCTTAGAACAGTTATCCAATTAGAACCCAGGATTTCAATTGGCAGAAGGTAGGCATTTAAAAAAATATTTTTTCTCTCGACGCAATATTATTAAGTTAAACTTTATAGATAAAATAGAATTTTTAACTATATGAAGAGGCTAAAAAATTCCAAGACTAATGAATTTTATGAAAATTCTTTTCTCTTAGAATAAGTCCAAAATACCTCACTGTGTACTATTACTATGAATTTAGCTAAATCAATATCTTATCTGTTAAATTTAAATCTGTTGAATAAATAGGAAATCGTTACTTTTGACCTGCCTCCTAAGTATTTTATAATTATTTTTTGCTAAAAATATTATATTTAAAAAAAAATGAGGACAAACTATTTTTGAAAACATTAAATTGGAGGGTCTCTTTTACAATTAAAAAAATATCTCCAGAGGGACTTCTTGGAGGCATGAGGTATTTTAATTTTACCAGTAAACATGACATGACTATTAATTTTTTGATTAATAACTTCACTAGATAACACTTACGTCACATATTTTATGGGTTAAAATATGCTCTGATGTAAATTTATGTATAAATTAATGAAATATATATATATATATATATTTATTCTTACAAACCTACAACACTAGCAAAAAATGATATATTCTACTAATACATAACGATATTATTTCAATCTACATAAACACTTATAATTGTCTATTGATAAGGTGTGTTTAGTATCCGACCCACGACCTGGTCACTTATTCGGTCATCTCTACGAAGTGAATATGAGTAATAATATGGTGGAAGGCTCTCAAGTAGTGTTTAATAATCAACCAATTGAAGTTTTGTTACAAGCATGTTGTGATTCTATCATGAAACGTAACGAGCCAGTTTGGTTTGGTTGTCAAGTAGAACAGAGATTTTCCGATAAATTATCGTGTGCCGACTTACAAATGTTGGGTTATTATATTCTAAAAAAATCTAGAAAACTTAATTTCCTTTTTTTTAGACATGATTTTAAATCTACTTTTGGCACAGATGTGTCGCTACCAATTTCTAAATCTGAACGGATATTGTACTACGAATCCAACTCATCGCATGCAATGATTTTTACTGGAGTTCATATTGAAGTATTTTTTATTTTCATCTATCAATATTCGTATTGTTTAGTTGTACAGAACAATTAAAATGAATTTGATAATTTAGTGTGAACAAATAAAAAAATTTTGCGTTGAAAATTCTTGGGGTCGTCCTAAAAACAACGGAAATATAGTGATGACCTCAGAATGGTTTAAAGAATACGTTTATGAAATAGTTGTTGACAAGACATTACTTCCTGAAAACGTAATTCAAGTGTTTGATCAAAAAAGTATAATTCTAGAACGATGGGATCCGTTGGCTGCTTTAATAAATTAAGCTAAACACTGTTAAAAGCGCTTATAGGAGATATTTATCAATATCTTAATTAGATCTATGGTAACATATAAAATTAGTAAAATTTTTCTGGAAAATACATTTTCCAATTATAAATTTATATTTTTCAAGATAATTTTTTACAGAATTCTCTTGTGTCTATCAGTATTATGAATAAAACAAACTTTACACCAAATATTCTGTATAATAATGTAAACAATCTTTTTAACAGAAAATTATTATCATTGTTTTTAATAAACTGTAGCAATTAACATATTTAGTTTATATTATCAAACATATATTAAACCTATTTAAATCATATGAGATAATAATCATGAAAATGAATAGGATTAAAATTAAAAACTCCGAATTTTAAACATAGTTCCTCTTTTATGTGATCATTTAAGTCTCTTTATAGTTGGATTTTGAGTTTTGCCAACCTATGCATATTTTATGCAACGAGTAATTTTGCTATTTAAATTTATTGTTTCTTTTTCCATTATAAAATGTGCACTTAATCATATAAATAAAATAGCACAATTCATTGTAAAAATATTGCGTATAAGTAGTTCTTTTTCTTCGTTTTTTCTTGTAAAAATATACAATCTAGTAACTGTTAATAAAAATTCATAAGTTCTATATGAAAAACAATTATTTAAGTACTTGTGATAAATAAGCCTGATTAAAATAAATGGTCAACAGGACCAATTGAGTATGTTTTAGGGATCATAATGTATATAGTATAAATGAAAACTGGGAGGCAACCGCGTGAATAACACCATTAATAAGACTGAATGTGTGTATGGTTATAAAAAGAGTACAGATCAAATGAATCACCAGCACCCTCAATTATGTTTTATTATCGTCCCCTCTGAGTCTCTTTTTCTCATTGTATTCTAATTAAGATAATATTAAGCATGAACATTCTTTGCTACATAACGTGTATATGCACACCCCACATAAAACTTGCATTTGAGAACTCATAAAAGACTTAAGTTAAAAATAGTCATCAGTACTTCCGGAAAATTATAATTTTTATGTTACACATAAAATATTTCATAAGTATAAGAATAATTTCTATTATATTTTAATTCTAATAAAAATATTAAATAGACTTGTGTACATTGACTCAATAAAATATCAACAACAGCATGTTTAATTGATTGATCAATTTCTTAATAAGTCTAATTAATACTACCATATTAAAATACAAAAATTAGTTGGTTTACTGCAACTTCATAGACAATAAATCATAAATATTAAAATGTATTTATTTTTTATATTATTACTCTAAGTACCATAGCTCGTGCACTACAAGAATACATAAATAATTTATTTAAGTTTTAATTTTTTATAATAGTGCCAGATATATTGTTTTAAGCACTTTATTTCTACTTGAATTAATTTTATACTTTAAAATTACAACTTTATAGTATTTAAAAACAAATAATTATTAGCAATTAAATTTTTAAAAAATTTTATGTTTTTTAGTTAGCATTTTTATAGACACTTCCTATTTGCGGATATTCACTTAAAAATAATAATGATTAGTGCAACAACATAAATTGTTATTTTCCTGTACCGATTATTATATTGACACATGGTTGAACCGCGATTTTGGGCAGCAATTGAAAATCAGCATGATCCGTCTCCGTTAACTAAGACCCCCGGGGAGGGAATCAAACAACAAGAAGAAAACGCGCACTGACGATTAGTATCAGAGCTCCCGCTGCAATTTTTTAGTTTGTACACACATATTTGTTTAAAGAGTTTTTTTATTTACCCGACAATGCAATGCCGCAGCACACGTTCAGTCATCCGTATATAAATACAAAGCCCAAGGGTTTGTTTCTTTTCCAATGACATTATTATCTGACATCTATAAACTAGACGTTAGTTTTCTATATTTTATTTTTTATACACGTAACAGCAATAATAATAATCAAATATGGTCATAAAAAATAAAAACCCCAGTAAACAATGTGAATAATACATTCAAATAAAAATATATTACATCATAATAAATACAACATACCCTTTACGGGTTTCACACCTTGTCTGATGTGATACAGAAGATTTCGCCTGAGGTTTTCCTTTGACACTAGACAAAATGCAGTTGTTAAATACACTCATAAGAGTGTATATATCTCGTACTATAGAGATTTAATTCAAAGATATCAATGCATTCTGTTCGCACAGCCAATACTTTTAAACAAATACCATTTGAAGAAAAAACACCATTAGATACAATCAAACTGAATTGTTTTGATTCTTTACCGCTAAAATAACTCCAAAATAAATTATTACTACTTAGCTTGTTTAATTGATAAAATGATGAATAAACTATTTTTAGGTTTATAGGATGCCACAAATTTATCAAACGTAACGATTTTTTTTTATTTAATTTTACATTGATAAATCGAAAAAACTAGTGATAGTTAGAACTTATACTTTATTATTAATAGTAAATAAATAACAATTCTTCTATAATAATAAAATCTTTTTGACAATGTTTCAAGACATTGAAACAAGTTTCATAAGGTACAAACAAAATCTCATTTTTTTCTGAAAGACAAATACTACACATGAAAAATATAAATAGAGTGCAGTGGTATAGTTTATTGTTATCGTTGTTTATAACAATTTACCTATTTCCTTACTTACTAAACTCTCTCTCTCTATATATATATATATATACAAACAATTTTGTTTACTATATTAACGATATTCAACATGTAATCGTTATGCAATTTTTTCATTTTTAAATACAACGTTTAAAAGTAATTTATTTTTGTTTTGAAAATATTTGCTTTATAATATAAGTTGTATAATGTTTAACGATATTTTACGTTTATTGATATAAAGTATGTTTTCGTTTTAAACGATATAGTAATTACGTTATTCATGACGTTTTTTTGTCCTATTAATGAAAATTATTTTGTTATTATATCATTTTTAACAGTTATAAGTAATGTAACTGTTATAACATACTAAAATAAATTTTATAAGATTAATTATAAATTTTTTTTATTACAATAAATAAAAACAATTACCCTATCGTTAACTATAGAAACTATGTAGTTCAATTTATGGAACATTCAAAATTTAACTTTTTAATCAGAACAACTCTTACTAAAATTTAAAAGTTTTTCGTTTATCTTAAATAAAAGTTGTTTATTTTAAAACATTGGAATTATGTTCATTATGATCATAATTATCAAAATATGAGTAATTGTGATAAGTATTATAACGCAAGATCAAGATTTTGGCATTGGTTAAATGGCCAATCTATTTTATATATTTTTCTAATAGTTCGTATTAAATGTAAATTTTATAACCCATTAAAAACAGTTTAAAAAAAAATTGAACTATAAAAACTGTAAAATCATTGAATTAATGTATTAATAACCTACTCCTGTTCCTAAATAATGATTTATAAATATTGTACTAGTAATCTATTTACTATGTTTTGTACCTTAACTTTAAGAAAAAAAGTAATAAAAAACTGGTAGACTAGTAGTATGGATGATTTTTTTGTATTATAGGAGATTTTAATCAAATAAAATTATATTAATACCATGCGACGCAAAAAATTGACTTATTATTATTAAGATCTAACAGACGCTATATTAATTATACAGAACGTTCAGTAAGTAAGGAAACAGGTCAATTGTTATAAACAATGAGAACAATAGAATCCGTTTCCTTACTTACTGAACGTTCTGTATAATTAATATAGTTTATTAATATATAATTTTTTGGTGAACATTCTATTACTCAGTGTAAATGCTTAACATTTGATAATATACGTAATATTATTGCCTGAGAGGTGATAACTTTGTGGTGAATTAAAACCATTTTTTGAACATTAAAATTCAATAATAACTTAATTAATTGGTCCTTAGTATTTAGTAGCAAATTTTCTTTCATATTCTCTTATTGTACAATCTTTCATTATAAATTGGCACCGTGATAAGAAGTCGCCCAGCTGACCACTACAGTACGTGTCAACAATTCAACCGGCCCCAGGTGTTTGTTCAATATGCGCGCACTGATGTCAACGTTATTCTTCTTCCGGTTTAATATGTTTTCGTCGAAGTTTTAAAAAAATCACTCTTTCCAGTCAGCTACATGTTATTTTTAGTTTGTGAAAACGATGTCATATACAAATTAATATTTATCAACGTTCAAAGATTACAAATTCTTTTTTCAACATATTTTAAATCACGAATATATTACATGTTAATCAACAATAAATAAACATGTAGATCAAAGATTTATTGTAAAATAAATATAAAGGAGAAGAATGAAATTTATGACACTGAATATTTTACTATTGTTGTGGTGTTAAGGTTGATATTTTAATAATAATATAAATAATAACACCGTGTCTAACTTTATGTTAGCATATATTTTCAATTGTTATACAAAAGAGTATAAAAACAATATCAGTACACAGTAGGAAGATACGATAGTCAAAAATGTTAATGATTGTAAGTGAGTCTTGTTAGTGGCCGGCGGCCTGGACCGGTTCACGCCGCCCGTCGGCCACTCCATATGGCGCGACCTGCCGGACGTAAAGGGAAAGCACCGCGATCGCCATCCAGTGGTAAACCTGTAGTCGTGATGCGACCGCGACACTATTTTTAGTTGCGCCGAGGACACTAAATGTATTTATTGATATTGAATACAATAAAATTACTATCATTTCAATAACGCTCAAATGAATAATTAACATCGGCTAATAAGGGATGCAGGCTATTTATACCAAATCGTAAGACTGCATAGCACATCTCCATTGGATAAACACACGTGAATTCTTATTATACAGAGTCTTCAGTAAGTAAGGAAACAGCAAAATTGTTATAAGCAATGAGAACAATATAAACCCGTTTTCTTACTTACTGAAAACCTTATATAGAGTGTTCAATTATGTTTTAATATAAAGAAATTACTAATAGTCAATGACCAAAATGTATCGGAAAGATGAATAGAATATTTATATAGTAGAGATAAAAATTCATATAGTTTTCATTTGATAGGCATAGTATACCAAATAATTTTAAAAAACCCATTACAGGGGGGTCGCGGCACAATGGTGACGTGGTATAGTTGGATCAAGTATAATGATATCTGACAGTAATTAAAATCACTATCAAAAAAAAACGCTTTGATCCAAATCTTTAGATAGTGTTTAACTTTAAAAAATTGGTGGATTGATCTAAAAGCTACATGATCTGCTATTTCCTTATTTATATCCTGACTAAGATAAATTATGTCGAATGAAAAAGGGATATAAATTTTGTTTCTCATAAAAAAATTGTGTTGATCCATACACTTTTCAATAAGTTATAACATTATAAAGTTAAAAATGTAAAAAATAAAATCGAGAATTTTCACACAAAAATAGCATTGGGTAGCCATTTTCACCGTGAAGACAAAATAAAGTAAGAAATTTTATTTCAACTAATTAAGTACATTACACTAGCTTCAATTTAAGATATATATAATATAAATTAAGATATATATATATATATACTTTCCGGAACACTTTCAAAAGTAAAGTTGAAAAAGTTGTCTATTTGAATCCTGCCTGTGGGCATGTAAAGGGTCAGATTTATAAAAAAAATACACCAAATGATAAGCAATGACATCAAGCATCTATTTAAAAAAAAGTTATATTGATTTGATCATTTTTGAAAAAGTTATGGCAGTTTTAAGTAAATAAATTGAAAAAATTTCNACACCAAATGATAAGCAATGACATCAAGCATCTATTAAAAAAAAAGTTATATTGATTTGATCATTTTTGAAAAAGTTATGGCAGTTTTAAGTAAATAAATTGAAAAAATTTCAAAAATTAGCGATTTTTAAATTTGTATTTTTTTTTGAAGTTTCCTCCATTTACGGGAAATGAAGAAAATTTTTTCAATTTTTGAGGGTAATGTCTTCGACTAAATACAATTTTTAATCTTTTGACGTATCGTTGAAAGAAATCAGTTCAGTGAGAGCTGAGAAAAAGTGGTAACAGACACAAAAAAAAACACTTCATAGTAAAACCTTCTCAGCTTCGCATCGATGCTAAAAATCATCAATTTCATTTAAAAACCAATAAATCATTAGTTCAAACATTCATCTAAAACAATAAAGTTTGATTAAAACACCTTTATTTATTTTACATTGTAATAATTTTTTTGTTGCTCTATTTTAATTAACCTTAGCGAAATAGTACTTGCACAAACGTTAAATGTTTTTAATAATAATAAGTAATAGTAATGTGTTGCTGCCTAAGAATCAATTATATTTGAATTTTTACTGGTTTAGCACTACGACTTTTTTTTATTCAAACTTTATTAGTATGTTGCAATGATTGCTTTCGGTCTTCTCCATTTTTAAGTTTAATGTTTAATGCAAACCATAAGAATACTATCATCACAAAAAAGACAACTGGAAAAAATTTAAATGTTTGTATTATTTAATATTTTGAACGTAAATAAATGTCGTATAACATAATATTTCAATATCACAAATCTTATAAAAAAAACATATCAGTGCCGTTTCCAAGATTTCTTAATTTCAAGATTTAATTAATTGTTTGATTATTTTAGTTTTGCTATCAATTTTTAAAGAAAAATTCGCTAAGATGAAATAGTTAATTTTTAAAAAATAATCTATCACTGTTAAAAAATAAAATGGCCAATGTAAGACAATTTGTCCCTTTAATCAATCTTTAGATACACTACTGAAATATAAGATATTACGTACACTCTCCAATTAATCCCAATATGGCTGAATGATCGCAACTGTATGAATCGAAAATTGATTCTATTGTATAACCATTTAATAACACCAAGGACATTATGATATTTAAAAAGTATTTAAAGTGATGAAAAACTAGGAATAAATCAAAGCATCCATCAAGCTTAACATTGTCAGCATTTATATTTCTTCCGAGATATTCAATTCCCTGTTATTAAATGTACAAAATATTTATAATTACTGTTAACACTTTTAAAAATATATAAATACTATATGCTATACTAAAAAAACGGTACAATCAGTATCTGCAATAGAGAACTCTGTATATAGGGTGATTCTTTTAATTATAAACACTCGATTCCTGTTAAAATAATAATTACGTTAAGGATATAATTTTGGTGCTTTTTTGTATCATGTATTTTTTGATTTATCAGTAATTGGAAGTTATTACCACTCATTGATGAGGCGTATGTATGAAAATATTTATTATTTGACATTTTTCACTGCACCTCTCTTCCTTTCAAGGTATATATGTTTTAATAACATCCAAAATACTGATTAAAAAGTTGTTTTTGATCGAGTTATTTTCCTAAATTTATCATTTTTTATTTTAAAAACTAGTTAAAT